ACCCAATGCTGGTGACAGGCAATGAAAATGCATACTCAGATTAGGGGTCTATGTGATACAACCTCCTAGATGTGAACTAAAATTCTTTGAGAATTTTTCCTGAGGAAATCATTCAAAATACCAAGGCTTTCTTTGGTAGCAGTATTATTGATAATAGAAAAATCATCTTTTATCCAAGTATGTCTTGAGGGATGGTTGTATAATTTATCATCATCGTTAATGTTAATTCAGCATTCACCTTGATCCAGGGAATCCTGTCCACTAAGTTCCTTGACAACCCTTTGATGTTAAGCCCTTTATCATCCCCATTTTATAGAATCTCAGAACACATTGTCCTAGTCACACCCCACCACTGGGAATGGTAGAGATAGATTCCATCTTGCCTCTGTCCTACCCCCAAGGTCATCTTCCAGGCAGTTAGAAACAGTAATCATGAGGGTGTTTTGTTTAAGTAAGCTCCATGCCCAGTGTGGAGCCCCATGAGGGGTTCGAACCCACAGCCCTGAGATCAAGACCTGAGCTGAGATCAAGAGTCAAAGCTTAATCAACTGAGCAACCCAGGTGCCCCCACGAGGGTGTAGTGCAGACATGTTTATAATATGATGCTATAATATGATGAAAAATGAGGATCTAGAATCACTTTTATGATTTTAAGTGGGAAGAATATAAAATTGTTGCAAAATGCAGCATGCAGAGAAGGAAATAATCAGAGAATAATTGAGAAGGAAGGGGTTTAGGGAGAGAAGGTGGACAAAGAGGCCATGGAAGCAGTGCAGACAGGAGGGGTGAGGAGTGGGAGTGGGGTGGAGGGTCACTTTTTGCCCCTGAGGGCACTACTGCCATTGGCTAAGCTCCTCCAGGCTCCCAAAGGGGGCCTGGACTATGCAGAGACCACAATCTGGGACAGTCCATGAAGGCACGAGGGGTCTACAGGTACAGGACCCTAGGTCTCTGTCAACCAGAGCTCCCTGCCCCTTACTCCTTTACCCACTGGGGAAGTTAAAGGCACAATGTCCTCCAATTTGGACAAAGAGCCAGTGGCACCTGTTCTGAGGATTGAAGCCAGATGAGCTGCCAAGGTCAAGGGAGCCAGACAACTCAGGACCCCACAGGGTGCTCCGGAATGGCAGCAGAGGGCTTAGGATTGGTGACAGCCTCCCTCCAAATTCGCAGCCTCCATTGTGGAGGGCTTTTTTTTTTTTTTAAGATTTTATTTATTTATTTGAGAGAGAGAGAATGAGAGATAGAGAGCACGAGAGGGAAGAGAGTCAGAGGGAGAAGCAGATTGCCTGCTGAGCAGGGAGCCCGATATGGGACTCGATCCCCCGGGACTCCAGGATCATGACCTGAGCCGAAGGCAGTCGCTCAACCAACTGAGCCACCAGGCGCCCATGTGGAGGGCTTTGTTACCAACAGGGAGACCAAGGCATGGAGAGGTCAATTCACTAGTCTGAATTGTGAATTCACTGGCTGTTTGTCAAAGGGTGTTCTGCCCATCATCACAAACCCCCGTCCCCCTCCTAGGCCCCCAGAGCAGGGCCGAGTGATGCGAAGATTCATGCTGCCTCTGGCACCATGAAAGGGCACCGGGAGGTGTTCTGTGATCAGAGAGTCTACAAACATCTGCTGCACTGGAGGAAAACAAAGCCAAAAGATAGAAAGAACGTTGTTTTTCACTTCCTCTGAAATGAAATTGGCTCCTAGGAGCTTCCCAAACCCCAATCCCCAGGAATCTGGAGCCTAAATTTAGATTGTCCTTGGAAGGTCACTGGATCACCCTGGCGCAGGGTCAGTCGGCAGCTGCTCAAGATAAACTTGGCTTTTCTGCTGACTCAGGCCTTTCCCTCACACAATTAATGAGATCCTGCCACACTTCCCCTGGGAAAGCAGAACAATAGCTGTAGATGAGCAGGTGGCCTTGGCTGGCGCGCTGGCCTGGGAGCCCCTTCTCCAGAGATCAGGGAGTCATGGCCCTGCCCAGCCCTAGACCCTTCTGACCTCAGCTGGCAGGCCCTTGCCCACTGTCTTGCCCCAGCCTCACGGAGCTCCATGTGCCTCCCAGTCACCATGTCCTTTCCCACCTCCGGACTCTTGCATGGAACCTCTTTCCTGGATCTTGGCTGAACTCTCACCTCCTCAGAGAGGGCTCTAACACTCTGCATCACCTTGCCATCTCCCTACCCCATGGCCATGGGCACACCTGAAAAGGCCCTATGCAATTAGTGGTCTAGGGCAGGAGTTGGCTGGACATGTCCTCCACCCAGAGACGGTGCTCAGTGCGAAGCAAGAGGTCAGGAGACCACCATGAGTGGAAGGAAGGGCAGGCACATCCTCAAGCCCCTCCTAGGTCTGGGCTGGGCCTCTCTGCAGTGGCTCGGGTTCCACTGCAGGCCTGGGCCACAACCAACACAGTTGTGTTGGAGTAGAAATCAGATTGTGATAGGTGGAGACTAAGGCCTTTCCATCAAGTCCCCCAAATACTGTGAAGCTGTCCCCAAAGAGATAGAGGCTTGCTGGGGCCACCCCGGGGTGCCAGCCTGGGGGTGACCCTGGGGTAGGCCCTTGGTGGTGGAGAGAGAGGGGCCGGTGGGCAGGCAAAGGGGGAGGTCCTCGTGCTGGCTGCAGCTCCAAGCTGGCTAGAAGGGGTGGCGTGGCCAGAGGTCAGCAGTGAATCACAGGTAGCCCCTCGCCGGGGACAGATGCGTGAAGATGGCCCCTGTGTGGAAGCTCCTTCCTGGATAGTGATAGGGAAAACCAGGAAGTGGACGGACAGTTCCAACTTGGGCCTCTGAGAGCAAGGCTGGGGGACGGGGGCAGAAAGGCATCCAAGAGCAAGTGATCTCAGCAGCACAACTTAGATGAGCAGCTTCCACCTGAGGGACACACTGCAGGCAGAAGAGGCCATGGGTGAGAGCCAGACCAGCCTGAGGGCCCAGAGAAAGGCAAGTCTGGATAAAGCATGGAGTGTGTGCTGCTGGACTGGCCAGGCCCAAGGCAGGCAGGCAGGCAGGCAGGCAGGCAGGCAGACGTCACCCTGGGCAGCTCCCAGGAGTCAGCACTTTGTCCATAGGCAGTGCGAACCATGATGCAGGTTTCAGGCAGAGTGTGACTCAGGAGAGGGGCCTGCCAGAATGGCCTACCTGCCCTGAGGAGAACAGCCTCAGTGGGCAAGGATGGGGCCCAGCTGGCCTGAGGAGGTTACAGTAGTCGTCCTGGGAAGAGAGCAGTGTGGGGTGTGGTGGGAGACCTCGGGTAAGGTCCCTGGACTCGGGCCAGGAGGGAGCAGGATTGGGAGGGTTGGGTGGGTGGTACGGCTGAGCCCCCTGGAGTGGACAAGAGGAGGGGACGTCCAGGAAGGTGGAGGGAGAATGGCCAAGGCGTTTGCAGCAGGAGGGAAGCAGTGAGGTGATGGCTGGGAGGAGCCAGTGGTCCCCAGAGCCCCATCCTGTGCAGGGATCAAGGAGGCTGGAGGGTGCGGAAAGGGGTGAAACTTCCTCCCTCCCCCCCCCTTCACACTCAGGGCCCAGCAAACTTGCCCTGGGTGCCTCCCCATGCTGGATGAACAGGGTGTTGGCCTTATCTCAGAGCCATAGGCAGAGGGAGAAGGAATCGGGTCCCAGGAGGGACAGATTTACCAAACTCCTAGGCTGTGGTTGACCTCGATGTCAGGCCTTCTCTGTGGAGGGCCCTGTCTAGCAGAGCCAAGCACCTCGGACCAGAGAAAAGAACCAGGGTCCCAGCCACCTCAGTCCAAGACAGGGTACAGACTTTGCCGGAAACAAAAGGGCTGATGGGGAGTGGGGAGGGAGCTGCTAGAACAGGGCTGGTGCCCCATGGGGTTGCGGGCTGCAGGGTCTGGTGCCCCCACCTGAGTCTCAGGGGGGCCCAATGTCCATCCCAGAGGGCCTTTCGAGAAACGGCTGGGCCATTGTGCAGAAGAATGCCCGGAAATCCCGAGCCTCCCGCCTCCAGCGAGGATGGGGGCTCTTCCTTCTGGCCAGGAAACTCCAAGTTGGCTTCCGGAGGGTAGCCTGGGGCCTGGGGTGCCAGGGGTCCCACTGCCACTGGTGGGAGGGCAGAGCACAGCACCTCTGTGTCCCTTTGTGTTTCTCCTCTCTGAGGGCTGGAGTAGGCCCCCAAGCCTGGGGCCACGGGCTGCTCTGAGGAGGTCAGCCTGTTTGCTGAGTCACTGGAGAAGAACACTGGGGACTTCCCGAAGTGGTGTCGCCTGAGCTGAGCCTCAAAGGATGGGGGATGGGAAGCATCTCAGGAAGAAGAGCAGCAGTGCAGAGGTTGAGAGGTCTGGGAAGTCCCGGCGGCAGGGTGCAGAGTGAGGGTCTCCGGAGGTGGTGGTAAGGCCCCTGTTCCACCTGCTTCCTGTTGGGGCCTCAGGCCCCTGCGAGGCGGTGATCGGCTGGGCAGTGGCGCTGGTCAGGACCGTGGGCTGGAGATTTCAGCCTGACCCGCACAGCTGGCCTCTTGGCCTCTGGGAGACATAATGCCAGGACTCAGAGGGGAACTGCGCAGTAAGGGCGCGGGGAAGGGGTCAGGGATGGGATTGGACTCCAGGGCGAGATTCCTGTAGTAATAGGCCGAGCTGTGCTTGGCTAACCCAGGAAAAGGGGCCTAAGAGTCCCTCAGGCAAACCTCCGCGCGACGGTGATGGTGGGGGGTTCCCGCAGACCTTGGCCAGGCAGGAGCGGAGCCGGCCTGGGTGGTAGAGACCTTCACTCTCATTCCGTGATGTAGCGGGGGAAGTTGGTGCAGTCATGCGGCTCCTGAAATGGAGAGGCTGGGACACAGGGAGGTGGCCCGGGGAGCGCGCGCCCAGCCACCCCAGGTCAGTCCGGAACGAGCTCTGTACAACAGCGGGTGAAGGGCTCGCGGGCGGCGGCCGGGCGGGGAGCGGTCCCGGCGCCCTCCGCTACCCGCCCCCCCCCAAAGGCCAGCGGTTTCCCTAACTCCAGCTGCCGGGGGCGCCTGTGATTGGCTAAGGGCCGATGGCCGGCGCGCGGATTGGCTGCTTGGGGACCAGGGGCCGGGCCCGCGGCGCAGAGTCCGCCCCGAACCTTCAAATAGGAAGCCCCCGACAGGCTCCCGCAGATCCGAGGCTGTGTTGCAGACGTGCCGGGATCGGGGACTGGAGGCGGTGAGCCGAGCGCCCGGGCGCAGAGGCACCAAGAGCCCGTTTAGGGCGCCAAGCACCTCCATCGAGGCACCGCCGCGCCCAGCCCGGAGGCCCGGGGGCCGTCGGGCGCCGGTCTCGCCTCCAGCCATGGGGTCGGCGGCGCTGGAGATCCTCGGCCTGGTGCTGTGCCTGGTGGGCTGGGTGGGCCTGATCCTGGCGTGCGGGTTGCCCATGTGGCAGGTGACTGCCTTCCTGGACCACAACATCGTGACGGCGCAGACCACATGGAAGGGGCTGTGGATGTCGTGCGTGGTGCAGAGCACCGGGCACATGCAGTGCAAGGTGTACGATTCGGTGCTGGCGCTGAGCACAGAGGTGCAGGCGGCGCGGGCGCTCACCGTGGGCGCAGTGCTGCTGGCGCTGGTCGCGCTCTTCGTGACCCTGGCGGGCGCTCAGTGCACCACCTGCGTGGCACCCGGCCCGGCCAAGGCGCGGGTGGCCCTCACGGGCGGCGCGCTCTACGCACTCTGCGGGCTGCTGGCGCTCGTGCCGCTCTGCTGGTTCGCCAACATCGTGGTCCGCGAGTTCTACGACCCGACGGTGCCCATGTCGCAGAAGTATGAGCTGGGCGCGGCGCTGTACATCGGCTGGGCGGCTTCCGCGCTGCTCATGTGCGGCGGCGGCCTCGTGTGCTGCGGCGCCTGGGTCTGCGCTGGCCGCCCCGACTTCAGCTTCCCAGTCAAGTACTCCGCGTCGCGGCGGCCCACGGCCACCGGCGACTATGACAAGAAGAACTACGTCTGAGGGCGCCGGACTCGGCGGGGCCCCTCGCGCTAGCCACTCCCACGAGCCGGACGACTGACTAGGGGAGCCCCGCATGCACGGCGGAACGGCCGGCTCTGTGCCTGGACGTGGCGCACCGACTGACTTTTGAGACCCTGCTCGCGCCCGCAGCCCGTTCTCTCCAATAGCCACTAGCCGGGCCCTGGGCCGCGCCCTGCCCTGAACAGGAGCCACGCACTTGGGAGGATTTGCTGGGTTTCTTTTTCTGTGAGCAGAGCTTGCTCCGATGTGGGCGGGGCGCGGGTCCCTTTAGCAGAGTGGACAATGGACTGAAACGCCAATTCCCTCCTGGACCCTCAGGGTCTTGGATGCCGTCATCCTCCCCAGCGGCTCCGGCTGATTTCAGCGGGGCAGACGGAGAGCCCAGGGGCCCCAACCTGGGCTGCCAGAGGGATGTATACAGCTGGCCTTTACCCCATCAGTGGGGCCTGAGCCCAGGGCGACTAAAGACTTGGCCTGGACCTCCCTGCCTCACCCCAGCAGCTCCCCAGGAGATGCTTATGGGCACCAGATCCTGAGTGTGGACCTGGGGCCCTGCCCTCCTTTACAGCTTGTGGGGAGGGTAAGAATTTGCTTAGTAAACGGTTTGAATACCCTCCCACCTGTGTCCTGTGCTCTGTCCAGTCACCACTTGTGCCCAGCAGCCCCCTTCATCCATGCGCCCACCAACTGCTCCCTGAAAGGCTTTTTCTGAGATCTCCCAGGGCTCCCCCTGTGTTCCAGAAGATTCATGGCCTGATCCCTGGCCCTCCCTGCCACCCAGTCACCTTCCTACTGGGTGGGAAGCACAGCTACAGTTTGCGGCAACCCAGGAAGGTGAGATCTGTAGTCAGAAGAGCCTGGGGAGAGGACGATACAGACCCCAGGAGAGGATGTGTGTTGGAAATCCACCCCCCATCACCCAGACGCTAGCCAGTGTGGAGTCTCTGGATGCAGGAAGTGTTGAGGGTGGGCTGCCAGGCTGCTGGCTTTGAGAAGAGGCTGGCTCCATGCACCACAGGTTGGGTGTTTTCCCCCTGCCCTCTCAGGGCTTGCCTGTTTGTGGATTGCACCAAATGGCCAGACATCTGTAAAACACTGACTAGGACCTTCCGGCTAAGAGTGCAGCAGGAACAGGGGCAAATCCAGGATGTGTGCTGGGCTCCAGCGGAGCTAGCGGCGGGCCACAAGCATGTTGCTATGGGAAGGAGGCACTTGTGCAGGTTGCCTAGAGAGTGCCTGGGCAGGGTTCCAGCCCCTTGGTCCTGGCTCTTCTGCTAGTCTCAGTGCAGCTCTGTGCAGGGCCTGTGCTCATCTTGCTGGCCTGGCAGCCAGCCCAGACTTGTGCTGACCATTAGCACCTCTGTGCCACAGGCTGCTGGAAGCGCCCTGTGTCACCTTCCTCCCATGAGTGGGGCCCCCGGGAGCCAGTGCTGGCCTAGGCCAGGAACCTGGGTGTTAGAGGTCACAGGAGAGCAGGGCACACCAGAGCTATGTTACAGTCACTGAGAGCTCATTGCTTCCAGCCCCATTCTAGGCACTGTGAATTAATGCAGTTTTACTTTCTGCCAAAGGCCAGGACAAAAGAGAGCTGTGGATGGAGGTGGGGCCTATAGGGAGGAGCTCCAAACCCAGCCAGCAGGACTTGGCATCTGCCCCCAAACCTGGCCTTGGGGGCCCTGTCCAGAAATGCTTGGGCCAAATCCAGTAGCAAGGAGTCTCCCAGGCCTGGCCAGGCTCCCCACGGTGAGGAAGGGGAGGAGCCTGAGGACCTGGGCTCAGGATGGCTGCAATGAACACTACCCTGAATCCCAGGAGTTGCAGCAGAGCCAGGGAGTTGGACTTCAAGAGAGAATGAACTATCCCGTAGCCTGAGCTCCTCGCAATGGGATGAGCCGCAGCGAGACGGGTCCCATGGCACAAAGGTCTTCAGCAGCCCCCCATAGCAGCCCCCCTCGGGCCTGTGCAGCAGGGCTCATGAACGGCCCTCAAGTGCAAGAGTGTGTGATCTTGGGGCCTTGGTGGGGCTGCTGGAACAAAGGTCCTGGGGCCAGCCAGGCTGGTGTTTGGCCAGGAGCACAGACCCACGGCTGCATCCCACACGAACCCAGAGCTCTCCAGTTCCTTCAGGCTCCAGGAATCAGCAGGATTCCAAAGGGAAGCTGTACCGTCCCAATGATGCAAATGGTCAAGGTGGGCAGCTTAAGGGCCCTGGGGAGTCAGGCTGCTGCTGCCTGACTCATGCCAGGAAGGCCAGGGGCACAATCCATCAGCCAGAGGTGAGGCAAGAGGAGCTGATCTCCAATGCAGCCAACCCCACTGTGCCCACTACCCCTTCCCAAGGGCCACCCTGTGACCTGGCCCCACCCATCTGTCTCCTCAGTTCCAGGCCACTGTTTCTGGGCTTTTTACCAGCTTAAAGCCTACCCAAACCACTCTGCTTCCTCCTGCCCAAGGCCCCAGGTGCCACACCCAGGTGGCCATGTCGCTCCAGCCTACCTTGCTTCCCTGGCATCCCTACTCCAGGCAGAGCAGCCAGATGGCCTCAACCACCCGTGTGAACAGCTCTCTCCTCCCCAAAGGGCAGGAATGGCATCCTCCTTGCCTCCAGATCCTCTCAACCCTCGCAGGGGCTCTGGGGACATCTGGGAGAGTGGAACCAGCTGACCGCACAGCTCCCCTAACTGAGAACTCCTGCTGTTCTGAAGACTTTGCAAGTTGCCAAGGTTCTGTCCAGTTTGAACCTTCTGTGACCAGGACGTGCTGAAGCCATCTCCGTCTGGGGCCCCTCAGCCACCTTGCCCTTGCTATCTGCCCAACTCTCCCAGTAGCCTGGGGGTGCCGTGTGCCTGTGGGGATGGGGAGGGTACTGGGACAGGAGACACAGTCACGAGGGTGGGCTTGAGCTGCTGCCAGGGCCACGTGGACAGGAAGAAGTGGCGGGAGGGCAGAGCCAGGTACCGGATGGTATCACTGGGCAGTGATCAGTGCAGGAGCCGTGCGGAGGGCCACGTGCTGAAGTGCCCGGCCTCCACCCACTGCTCTCCCAGGAGCCTGGAGGCCGCCCACCATGCTTATTTACTGCTGGGCCTCAAGGTCGCCCAGGGCACAGGAAAAGGCTCCTCTGGACCCACAGAAACCTCAGGACGAAAACAAGTGTTGGTCCTATGAACACAGCCAAGACTGAGGCACCACAACTAAAATGAACATTTTATTCCATTAAAAACCAACTGTCCCTGCATCTGAAACTATGTCCATAACTAACAGTCTAAATAAAACCCAGTTAATATAAATAAGGAGGAGGTCATGTCTGCAGAGATCAAACTCTAGAGAAGAAAGAAAAGAAAAAATAAGTAAATTTCAACAATTCTGATGCTTCTCTGAATTAAACAAATAAACTGTCCAGGCCTTCCCTCTGACATGGTGAGCTTGCTTCTGAGGAGCCATCACCACTCACAGGGGAGAGGGGTGGTGACCATGGGTGGAGGGCCACCCCAGAACCACTGAGGTGCCCACCGGCCTCACTGCACCCCGTTGGCTGGGTCCAGGCTGTCATTTGCTTGAGAACCCCTAGGCCTCATGGCCCTCCACCACCATATCACCTTGCAGACCCAGCCTCAGCCCCATGGGGCCCTCACGAGGCTTTTCCCCTTGCCTGGAGCATCTCCCCTACACTGCTCCTCCCCCTGGCCGGCTGGCCCACCCTGCACCCTGTCTTGGTGGCAGGACACACAGCAGTGCTGGTGTCATCACTGAGCAGGCTGCAGGGAAGGGCTAGGCCTCAAACACCAGCCCCCTGCCCGAAAGCCCCTGCCTGTAACCTTTGATTTGGGTCATAAACTTACACCCTGCCCCCATCCTAAGGCTCAGCACTCACTGTCCAAAGGGGTGTCAGCCCCGTTTCAGTTGAGGAAACAGCAACAGCCTGGTGAGATACCCAACACACCTTGCTGAAGACCCAAAGGGTCTGAGCCCAAAGCTTCACCCCAACACGAGCCCTATATGCCCTAGCCAACCTATGGGTCCCTGAGGTCCCCTATACCATTCTCAGCAGAGCCCACTGAGGCCCTGACAGGGGAAGGGCACCTGCCCCCCACACCTTCCAGCTCACTATGGATGGTAGGGGAGTGGGAGGACCCTGGGCTGGCATGAGGGGACCCTCTACATCAGAGCCTTGATAGGGCCCGTTTGCCTCAGCAGCGGCTCCAGCCCAGGGCTCAAGGAGATGCAGGGCTGGGCGCGGGCATCCACCGTGTGTGTGTAGGGGGCGGCCTGGGCTGAGAAACGGGTACTAGGTAGAGAGCAGGCCCCCCGGCCCGTTTGCTGAGGGGCCCTTCAAGAAAGAGCTGGTATGTGTGGCACTGGGAAGAGCCCTGGCCGGGGAGCATGGCTGTGGACCGCCAGTGACAGCCTCACGCTCAGGCAAGGCCCACAGAGACGACATTTTCTAGTTATCAGCCGTGTGGCTGCCAATAGCTTTGTTTTCTCCTAAGTCAAGCATGTAAGAGCCTGGGTAGAAGCCTCTGTGGGCTCTAGCCCAGGGCCTGATCTAAGGCTGCAAAGGGTGGCAAGGCTCCAGGTGTCCGCCCCCCTCACAAGGGTCGCCTCCTTTCCTGGCAGCGCCAGGAGGCCTGCGGGTCACTCACAATGCCCAGCCCACAGTGCGGTCAGGACAGGGTAAATGCTAGCCCTTGCTGGAGGGGTCCCAGGAGTTAATGAAATTAGCTCCTTCAAAAATGCCCCATTGTGGCACTGCCACCAGCCCAGGGACAGACACCCTTGGGAAAAATGTGTTGGCCCCACATCTCCTCAGGAGCCCTGCTTGGGTCTGAAACGCAAGCAGAAGCCTTGGCTTGAGGAGGGAAAAAGCAGGGAAAGCAAAGCAGGGAACGAGGGGCCCTCTTTACACCTCAACAGGGCCAACTCTGCGGCACCGCCAGCCCTGCGCCCCTGAAGTGCCCCCATGGAACTCTCCAGCACCCCACCCCTCCCCCACATCTCACCCTCAGGACAGGAGGGAAACAAGCGCATCCAGAAACTTGCTCCGATCCTCTGCTTTCAGTTCAATTACTGAGGTAATGAAAGAAAAACATCCCGTGAGGTGGAGGAGTGGGGCTGAGAGTGCGGCGCAGGA